CTCTCTTCTCGGCTGACTTCCTTGAATAAGACGCCCTTCAATTTTTAGCGCAAGAGTTTTAGAAAAAAGTATCGTCTTATAGTCGGAAAAATACGGTACTTTATAGTGTTAATGGATGTGATAGAAATGATATTCTTCTAAAATACCAAAAATAAGTCACAGAGGTTGAATATGTTCTGATAGCAACAGCTCATCCTACATTATCACCTCCCTTTGACTATATAAGGGTGTTACTGCTAAATCCCCGGTATGTATTCTTTAGTCAGCTGGTGATATGACCCACAGTTTCACAGCTGGGTAAACAGCCTAAAAGCCCCTGAGAACTCATAAGCCAAAGTGATTGAACTAGAGTAATAAATATAGAATTTCTGTAGGAATCGAATAAGTTAGTTTCAGAGGCAGACAGGAAGGTTATAATACCTCTAATCTGAGAACCAGCATCATGTACTGACGAAGAGAATGGATTGTGACCTTGGTACTGTCACTATTTTTCAACCCTATCTATCTCACAGTGTTGTTACAGAAATAAAATTAGGAGATATCCATGCACAATGCCTTCAACTTCTAGAGAGAAGATGAGATATAAACCACATTTCAGAGAAGAAGAAATTTCTGAACAGAATATAGAAAACATCTCAGCAAAGACAATACATAGAGCCAATTTCTAAAGGAAAAAAACAGGTGTACATGGCAGAATATCACACTGTAATGGTATGTGGGAATGACCTTGGAGACAGGGCAAAGAGACACAACTGAGGGAACAAGGGAATGGTCAGATAAAAGGCAGCTGAACCCACAGCAGGAATGTGAGTGGGGCAAGAGGCTTAGAAGAGACCCGCCCTAGTTTCTTGAGCTGTAAAGAAGATGGCAGGGGGAGGGGGGAATGCACTTTCAGATTTGCAAGATCATAATGTAGCTTTACAATAAAGTAGAATTAGCTCATCTAGTCATGTTTCCTGTCTGGTCTACTTAGGCTGATACATACAAAAGAGGAAGACAATCAGGAACATTCTATTTCTCTGAAGCTATAATATAAATCTCAGGTTTTCCTGTAGATAATAATTTTGCACCACTAGAATAAGAAGAGATTCCAAAAAGCACAAAGGAAGGAAGGAATCATGCCACTCCCTCAAGGAGAACTGGGATAATGGCAGAGATCAAAAGATGTAGTGGTATGAACTCCCTTTAAGACAGAAATGTAGGAAGGGATTGTTTAATTGCATGGTCCCCACTTTTCTTTATTTGGTGACCATGACTATGAAAAGTTTGAGAAACATTGCTTTAGGATACTTAGAAATTAAGAAAGGGTTCCACCTCTGCTACTAACTAGAAAATGTATTATTTATTTTGCTGCATATAAAAACTCCAACTTTCTTTTTAATTTTCTTTTCACAACACTTCACAAAACATTTTTATAAACTCTACCATTTTGTTATAGAGTTTTCAACTTTCACTATCATCTCTGTCTTTGATTATATATTCCCAAAACCTTTAAAAGTTCAACTGAAGAGTCTGCTTTTGGTGGGAAAAAATGGTTCTTTAGGGAGAAATGGTATTTAAATGTCACTATGCTTCTCAGAATCCAAGAAAATGAAGCTTTGCCTAGGATAGCTTAATAAACCTATTTCAACCAAGAGGCAGGATATGCGTATTTTAATACATTTTTCCACTACTCTGCTTGTCTTGTCTCTTGCATATATTCTCAAAATACAGAATTTGCTTTCTATCTTTAAAAAAAATGGAAAACATTTTTCTTTCAGTCTATTTCTGAATGAAACAATTTATAATTAAAGAAGTGACACAGCATACTACACCAATTACATTTATTATGTAGTCTTCAAAAGCACTCCATAACAGAATGTACTGCAGTAGTCTAATGCTGAAAGATACTGATAAGTGCAGCCAGGCTCTTTCTGTCTAGGAAGGGCTGTATATAAACATATTGGCCAAATTGTCTTTTGGTAGCGGAGTGGGAATAGAAAAACTAGTTTTAGAAATAATGAGATAATTATGATCCTTGCCTGTGACTAGGTGTATACTACAGGGCTAGGCTATTGTTCCTTACTATCTTTTTCAGAGAAATGAATTTGCAAAAACAAATTTCATGCAAATTGAGAAAGAAATGATAAATTAATATTAAAAATTAATTGCAAAGTATTTTTATTACAAACACTAACATTACTATTGCTAAAAATGAATATGAAAAGGAAGTAACAAAGTCTAAATACATATTCTTAGGTCAATTAATTTGCTTTAAAAACAAAAGCAAAAACAAGAACTACCTATTTTTCAAAGGAGGTTGTGCATTCATATATCATCAGCTATTCTGGAGATGGCCACTCCTTACATTAAAAATACATTAAAAATACAAGACATGCTATTTATAATGCCTATTTTATAACATGATTTGTTTAGAAACTACTGTATCAAAACAAATATCACAAGTTTATACAAACTTTACATCCCCTATTTGGAATTTGATTTTCAACCAATTAAAAAATAAATAAATTAAAAGACTCCTCCTTGCCACTTATTTTTCCCAGCAGGGTTGCAAGCATCTGATATACAGCCCTATGATTATTCCCAGAACATTTAGGGCTAAAACAGCAATTATACATTACAATGCAAGAAAATAGTTAGCTTGCTTCTAGTTGTTAACAATTTCTTTCTTGTAAATTTGGGATGTTATTTCTCATTTATTTCAATATTTTAAAGATATGAAGCAGTAAATAAAAATTTTGCTCCCAAGATCCCAAAAGGCAGGATTTGCCAAATACAGTACATATTAAAACTATAAGAAAAGCTTTGTTAGAACTAACCAAAGACCTATCACATCCAGGATTCTAATCCCCCAAATATCCAACTAGATGCCTATAGGAATGCTACTGTGAATATAAGACTACCCCCATCACACTCAGGTCTTTGACAACTTATACAGTATTTAAGATCAAATTACCTCTGACACTGTGAAGAATCTAAAGCATGGTAACTAGAACCTGATACTTCACAAATCTATATAAATCCTTTTGATATTGACTGTGGACTCCTAAAAGGCAAAGATGAATAATCATTATCACCATTTTGTAAAGACTCTTGGAATTACAGAAAGCCCAAAACACAAAATGAAAATAGTCACTGCTAAAGTAAACCAGAGGCATTTATTATGCTGCTATCTGAAAATGTGTGTCCCAGAGATCTATGGATGTTATGCAAATCTTCTTGGAGAAGCAAAAACAAAACATTTTGAAGTGATATTTTGTGACATAAATGTACTTTTTAGGTCTTGAAGATTTAAAAGAGGACACATTCCCTACCCCCATCCCCATAAACCATAGGGATGGTGAAGTACTGAGAGTAAAAGCTGATT